AATTTATTTTATTTCAGCAATCACATATTACTTGTATAATCACAAAATACAGGCAAGGTTTTTTTTTTTTTAATGAATAGAATGGCATGGTCAAAGTTATAGGCAGAGAAGGTGACTCCCACTGCCGCAGTCAGCACAGCAGGTAAAGGGGGCAGTATAGAAAGCGTAGTGTAGTGAGAGGCACCTTGGTGTAGAGGAAATAGCAAAAACCTGGGCATGAATCACAACTCTACCACTTATTACATCTGGGATTCTGGGCAAGCATTTAACCTCTCTGAGACACAGTTTCAAATGGAGAAAATTATACCAATACTTTACCGGGCTGCTGGGAGAATTCAATTGGAACTTTAAGTTGCCTAGCTTATAGTAGTTGCTTGACAAATGTTAGTTCTTTTCCCTACAAAAGTGAGGAGGTCGATTAAGCAGAGGTTACAGGAACTGAGTCAGAGGATGACCAAAGACTTTGCTAGCTGAATTTAGCTATAGTAATGGAGAAGGGGCAAATCTGAGAGCTACTGAGAAAGAATTAGTTATTGACAGCTGGCACACAATCAGAGTAAGATACCAAATGTGGTCTTCCTCTTGTTACTGGGAAAACAGATGAAATGATGGTGTGGACAACAATGTAATGGGAAAGCAGGGAATTTCCAAGAAAAAAATGAACAGTTCTAACTTTGTTATATTTAAAGTCAATACATGTAATTCAGAGTCTGTGAAGGGAGAACATTATTTGGAATTTTTAAAAAACCAGAACAATTTGGACATATATAGGTAATGAGCAGAGAGATCAGTCAGAAATGTAAATTGGCTACTTGAGATCAGAAAGCACATAGTGTCCTGCCTTGGTATGTACTCTTCATTCTAGGAAGAAGGATCATCTTGAATGACACTATACGGCCTGTGCTTAATGTGGATTCAGAGAAACCAGTTCTCAGAGTAAGTCAGCAAGAAAAGCTTCAAGTTACCATCTCAGATTTTAAAAAACTATAGGGCAGGGAATAGTGTAAGCCTTGAAAGCTCCCATATGCCTAAATGTTATAACAACTATTTCCCTATAGGGTAGCAGTAAAACCCTTCATATGAAAACGGCCTGTGTGCTTGCTGTGAATACTATCCTATGCTTATAGCCAGCCTTCAATGAGGAGGCCCATCCCCTTGTGCCCAGTACAATGCTGAGCACATAGTAGGCATTTAATAAATGCGTGGTGAATTAAAAATAAACAAATAATGAAAATAAAAAAGGAGGCCCACAAGGGACAGAGTGCCCAATGCAGCTGTGGAAGGAGAGGGAAGCATGCTACGAGTCTTTGTAGGCTGAGATGGGGCCTTAAAGGTAAGAGGTAAAAAGGCCTGTGTGCAATTTCATGACATGTGCTATTCATTTCAAACCTGTATTCATACCTCTTATATACACTGATCCTCACAACAATGTTGTCAGAAAAAGAAGCCCAGGTCATGGTGGCTCACGCCT